CTTGTACATATTCTGACTGATGAAGAAATCTATTTATTGTAGCTTGAATGTCATTGGCTTACCCTTTCCTCTGACCCAGGAGTGAGCCGTCATATGGGCATCTGGTCTACCTCAGAACACTCTGCAGGGACACAGTCTGGCATATTATAAATTGTCTATTGGCATGCTGTCTGCTTGACAGAAGAGCAGAGTCAGTTCTGGATACTTGCCTTGGTTGGCCACCAATTTTTGCTTTCAATTGGAGGTCAGGATGATATCAGTTTGTAAATGTTTGAGGAAAAATTGTCATCACCATGCCCAGAGGTTGAACTAAATTTAATGGGGATTTACAGGTGTCTTTGTGACTTTTGTAGGACTTCACCTGTCCTCATGCATATTATAGTGTGAGTACAAATTTAGCTTATTCACGTAACATTTTGAGCATTGTAATCTTTAATCATGATTTCAAAAATCAAAGGCCAACAGAAATTCTTAGTGTTTTAAATTTGAGAGCCTAAATGTTATACAAGTTTTTCTTTCAAGAATTTGGACTTGAGAAATGCAAAGAAATATCTGACATTGCAAAGGTGACTAGAAATGTTAGTCCTTTGGCACATAAGCAGCCTCAGTTTGTTTCTGGCCTTGCAGGGTCCGAACTCTGGGCTCCAGGGAAGTGAAACTGTGAGTGAGAGAGTAACTGCTGTGTTAGCAGGCTGTGCATTCAGAATTAAGCAAACCTAGTACTTTCTGTTGTACTGAAACCTATTAGGTCTCTTTTAAAGTCATATTTATTTTACTTTCCTGTTCTGTGAATTAGGGGGTTGTAAATGGCTTCAGAGGCAAATATTTAACCTAGACTTCTCATGTTTATCATCTTTTTACTTTGCTTTACTAGACAACTAATAGGTTACAATGGTTATTTTAAATGTTAGATTCCTTTTTGCCTTAATAACAGTCTGTATGTTCATTTTCTATTGCTTTGTAAGAAATCGCTACCAATTGTTAAAAACAATACTCATTTATTATCTCAGGGCCTTCACGAAGTGACTGGGTTCTCTGCTCAGGTTTTCACAAGGCTGAAATCAACATGGCAGCTGGGCTGAGCTCTTTTCTGGAGGCTTTGAGGAAATAATCTGCTTTTGAGCTCATCCAGGTTGTTGGCAGAATTCAGTTGCTTGAGGATGGAGAGCCCCATTTTTTACTGTTGGCAGTAGATCACTCTCAGCTGTTAAAGGTTGCTCTCCAGCCCTTGCCCATGGCCCCCAACATCTTATAGTGGAGAATCTTCTCTCACATAGAATCCCTCTCATGCTTCAAATATCACTGATATCTGTCTCTGATCTCTAGACCCAGATTTAAAAGGCTCGTGTGAGTAGGCTGTTCCCTCCTAGATGATCCTCCTTTCTTAAGTCAATTGTGCCATGTAACATAACGTAATATGGAGTAAGATCCATCATATACAGTCTTGGAGATTATTCAGGTATATGCACTGTGGTGTGTGGATCTTGGGGGGCAATTTTAGGATTCTGCCTATCATTGTTTATATCAATGTTCACAGAGTATCACTGTGAAAAACCTACAGTGGATAATCCTTAACAGAGTCCTATTAGGAAAGAAAATGAGATGTTCTACCTAGTCTCATGTTTCAGAGGGCCATTTATTGATAGCTGCAACATGAATTTTCATGATAAGAAGAAAGCATATTATTTCCTGAGTAGACCTATGACTTTATGAATGACATAGGGTATTTTTTTAAAATATATTTTATTGATTCTTTGCAGAGAGGAAGGGAGAGTGATAGAGAGTCAGAAACACTGATGAGAGAGAAATATCGATCAGCTGCCTCCTGCACACCCCCTACTGGGGATGTGCCTGCAACCCAGGTACATGCCCTTGACTAGAATCAAACCTGGGACCCTTCAGTCTGCAGGCTGACACTTTATCCACTAAGCCAAACCAGTTAGGGCAACATAGGGTACTTTTAAAATACATTTTTATTGATTTCAGAGAGGAAGGGAGAGGAAGAGCGAGATGGAAACATCAATGATGAAAATCATTGATCGGCTGCCTCCTGCACACCCACTACTGGGGACTAAGCACACAACCCGGGCATGTGCCCCAACTGGGAATTGAACCGTGACCTCCTGGTTCATAGGTCATTTATGCTCAACTACTGAGCCACTCCAGCCAGGAGATATAGGGTATTTTTAACCTATTTTATTTTATATCTGTCTTGGAAAAGGTGATTCGCTTTTCTGTAGATCAAATATGCTATGGTAAAAGTAAAAAAATATCATTGCAGGATAAGTAAAATCTTTGTGTAATTTGGATAGAAACTTAAATGAGTTTTGTTTATCAGTTAATATAGAATACCTACTTGAGTTTCTTCACATTTGAAATTGTGTGATCATGATTCTACTAAAGGACTAAGCTTTGGAACATTAGACCATACTGGGGCTTTTCTCCAATAGAAATTAAGCATAATCCTGTGATGTATCACCCAAGAATTAAATAATGGCAATTAGTTCAAGGCCTTAATATATGTGTTCACTGTGTCAAGTATATCAGAAATCAGCCTTTCAACTTGAAATTTTTCCAAGTTTAATCAAAATTGGGTAAAATCTGTATACATTTCATTCTAATTTTGTACTATGTTAATATAAAGCAATATCTGGAAAATTCAGAAGTAAAACAGAGAAAAAAATTAAAAAATATATAATTTCATGTAAATTTATTTAAAACACAGACTTTCACATTAGGGAGACCTAAAACAACTATCAGCCAAATCCATCAATTAGGCAAGTAACTTAATCTCTCTAAAACATATTTCTCATTTTTATAATTTAAGTACAGTATTGTTACATGATAGTTTATTTACTCAAAAACATTTTAAAAAAACTTAAAAATACCTGAATCCTGCTAGGCTTTAAGGACATAGCTCTGTATTATGCATATTTCAGAATACTTTTGGTTTATGAATAAAACAGATAAATCATCTTTATAAAATATGTTGTGTAACAAAGAATGTGTTAGGATAAATGCAATGATACATAAAAGTGCTTATCCCATTGCCTAGTGTGGATACTTCAAACATTTATTGCTTTCTTCCTTACCTTTTCCCTGCCTGATCTTACTGCCATCATAACTATGATTCTGGCAAATGAAGTTCAGAAGCATCTTGGCTGCTGATGGTCTATTCTAGAAAATAGCAGCATGACAAATTAAATGTTGCTGAGGAAGTGTGTTTGTGTGATGAACTGAATTTCCTGGTCAGTCCTGCTAGAACTTTGCCATTCAGCAAAATGAGGCTGGTGATTTCATTCTAAATATCAAGCTGCAGCAATTTTCATCATGAATGTTACCCAATCATTGAAAAATTGGCAACATTAATTCAACAGATGTCCAAATCTTTCTTGAAGGAAGGTTCTCACAACTGACAAGCTGATGCTAAGGCTGCTGACAGTAAGGTCAAAGATGGTGATGATCTGATTAATAAAAAGTATTTCAGTCCTATTTTCAAGTTTATAAAAGGATTTGCAAATAGCTTCTCTTCTGTTCTTTCTAACACCACTGGTATAAATGGGAACCCTCTTCTTTTGTCGGTAGGCGGTTTTATGCTACTATATATGGACCATCCATAGCATTTTGTAAACTTAAAATAAAAAACGAAGATGAAGCTTGCATATTCATATGTTGCCAATAGATTGGAAAGGACCAGAGAGGACCGTTAATGCATGGAGACATAAAGCTGTAGCTTTTCCTGGGTCTTGACTTTTGCTGAATCTTTGAATACCATTTAGCCATATCAAAGTCTTTCTGGAAGTTGAGCTGCTAATCACTTCTCTAGATGTTGGGAAGAAGTGTGGTTATGAAATCTGTGCATCCTGTGAATGAACTATAAGAATGATAGGAACAAGAATTATTGGCATTTTGAAATAGTTTATTGGTATTACTGTGGCTTTGTGTCTACTAAATATGATCATTATAATCCAGAGGAAAATATAAAATACAATCTCTGTCTCTCATCTTTTCACTCAAATAGAACTCAGTATTTCGTGACAGGGCCACTTTGAGAGGAACATCTATCACGGGTTTTTCATATAAAACTTTTGCGAATTGACACTATGGTGATGATCATTGATTTTTGTACCCACTGATTCCTGAGTAGCTTCTATTCAGCACATAATTCCCAAAACAGTATTTATGTGCCCATGTCTTCCTCTTTGTCTCCTCCACTTTGGATTGACAGCTTGTGGACACATGGCAGCAGATCTTTCCAACACTTTGGTGGTGCAGAATGAGCCATCTTTTTACATGTCAGCTACTCCCTGTGAAACAGTTAGAGCGTAGGGAACAGCAGCTGAGTGAGGAGGTAAAGGACTCAGAGAAGCAGAGAATTTTATGGAAAGGATTATGTAGCAAAACAAGGTCAAACTGCACTGTGGTTTGTTTTCCTCTTCAATCTGCAGCAGAGGCAGTTAGTTACCAGTTGCTGGCATTATGATGGGGCATGTCGTGCTAGATCAAACATGCTGCAGTTTACAGACCCAGCAGCGGATTGCAGTGCTCTGCAGTCCAGCCAGACCAGCAGATCCTGTGTAGTCATGTGCCCTGATTCAGCTCAAACGCCAAACTGGGGATGTGCCCCTAATGGGAGGTTTAGGGCAAAAGTAACAAAAGCTTTTCCTGTCTCAAAACAGATGGCCCTTCCCAAGTGCTGCTTCAAGAATACAGACCTGTTTTTAGTGAGGTGGAGCCAAAGCTGGTCCTCACAGCATCGTTAAATCTGATTTTCTGTGATATTTAGCCTGTGCAGGGACCCTGACGAGATAATCTAATTTTCTCCTGAACTGTTATATATATGGATATCATCTTAATGTGACACATGAAATGGCTCCTTCAGTACTTTTATTTTTTTAGATGCATGGAAATATTTAAGAAACAACTAATCAATGAACATCATCACCGGGAGATAACACTGTTTGGTTATATTAACAAAAACTCCCTCTGTGATTTTTCAGCCACGACAGCCCAATCCTGACTGGCGTTACTCTGCCTCCCTGAGAGCAGGAATGCACAGGTATGTATTTTTCTCCTTCCTTTACCCAGAGGTACCTTGAACTTTGTATGGCTCAGATAAACTCTGTCTCCGGAAGCAGCTGTCAAAACTAGGAAGCTTTAGACACTCTGCCAGGAGAATGCAATTATTTTTCTCTGTGTCTATTCCTTGAAACATTGGAAGTGGTCAGTGCCAAATGCCTCTCAAGTGCTGGCAAATGCCTCCTGTAAAATTGCAGACAGGCTGCTGTATGCATTCTCTCATTAGAATTTCTATGAGGAAATCATTCCAACTCCTTTATCCCTTCTCTATCTATACTTTCGGTCTCCTTTTCCTTCTTTTACTTCTTCTTCTTCTTCTTTTTTTAAATCCTCACCTGAGGATCTGTTGTGTGTGTGTGTGTGTGTGTGTGTGTGTGTGGTTTTTATTTTATTTTATCTTTAGAGATAGAGGAAGGGAGAGGGAGAGGGAGAGAGAGAGAAAAAAAAACATCAATGTAAGAGAGAAACATTGATTAGTTGCCTCCCGTATGTACTCCAACTGCGGATTGAACCTGCAACCTGGGTATGTACTCTGACTGGCAATCAAACCCACAACCTTTTGTTGTACAGGATGACACTCCAACCATAAGTCACCCAGCCAGGGCTCTATCCTGTTTTTAAAACTTGTAATAATACTGATATGTTTGGACTTGAGTACTTTGTGTAATATATATGTACATGTTGTCTACCTTGATTTGCTATCACACATTGATAGTTATGGCCTGTCAGCCACAATAATTGATGATTATTCTTGCTCATGTTCACCCCTATTAGATAGAGTCTTTTTATCTTTTCCATCTTGTTGCTATCTTATGGCCATCCGTGGCTTGGGCTCTTCCGAGGATGAGCCATGTGAAGGGCCTTTATTAAATATCTGGAGACCAAATCTAGCTTACTTTATATTAATCTAGAGTAATAGTATTACTCTGAGACTCAGATTAAATATAATTTTGCTTTCTCTATTTTGTCTCTTTGACAGTAATTGATTAACAACCATTATTACCAGAACTGATGTAGTATCTATGCCATGGGGCCAAAGAAATGATATTTGTGAGCGTCTTTGGAAACCAAATGGGGAGGGCCAAGAAACTAGTGATCACTACTACCAAAGATATTTTGCTTTAAAGAAAAAATAAACTTCAAACTTAAGGCCCTCAGAATATCTGGGCAACTGTTGTTGTTTAAAAGAAAACATATATATATATATATATATATATATATATATATATATATATATATATATATTATTGATTTCACAGGGAAAAGGATAGGGAGAGAGAGATAGAAACATCAATGATGAGAGAGAATCATTCATTGATCGGCTGCCTCCTGCATGCCCCACACTGAGGATTAAGCCTACAACCTGGGCAGATGCCCTGACCTGGAATCGAACCAGTGACCTCTTTTTTGTTTTTGTTTTTTGTGTTGTTTTTAAAAAAATATATTTTATTGTTTTTTTTACAGAGAGGAAGAGAGAGGGAAAGAGAGTTAAAAACATTGATGAAGAGAAATATCCATCAGCTGCCTCCTCTGGGGATGTGCCTGCAACCAAGGTACATGCCCTTGACTGGAATCGAACCTGGGACCTTTCAGTCAGCAGGCCAATGCTCTATCCATTGAGCCAAACCAGTTAGGGTGAACAAATGACCTCTTGATTCTTGGGTCAGTGCTCAACCACTGAGCCACACCTGGCTGGGCTGGGCAACTGATTTTTGTGTGTGTGTGTGTGTGTGTGTGTTGGTGTGTGTGTGTGTGTGTGTGTGTGTGTGTTGTGTGTGTGTGTGTGTGTGTGTGTGTGTGTGTGTGTTTGTTTGTTTGTTTGTTTTTGAGGCCATGGAGCCTTATTTATTTATTTTGTTATTCCTCACCATAGGATATTTTCCCATCAATTTTTAGAGAGAGTGGAAGGAAAGGGAAGAGACAGAGAGAAACATCATTGTGAGAGACATATGGATTGGTTGCCTCCTGTACTAGCCCCGGACCAGGGTCAGGAGTCAAGCCTGCAACCGAGGTACATTCCCTTGACTGGATTGAACCTAGGACCCTTGGGTCCCCAGGCTGACACTCTCTCCACTAAGCCAAACCAACTATGGCTGAGCAACTGTTTGTTTTTTTTCTGTTTTGTTTTTTTTTTAAAGTTTATTTCAGAGAGGATGGGGGATAAAGAGAAATAGAAACACCAATGATGAGAATCGTTGATTGGCTGCCTCCTACACGCCCCACTCTGGGGATCGAACCCGAAACCCAGGCATGTGCTCTAACCAGGAATCGAACCGTGACCTCCTGGTTCATAGGTCAATGCTGAAACACTGAGCCATGCTGGCTGGGCTCTGGGCAACTTCACCAAGCCTATATCAATTGTTGAAGACAGAGCATACAAAGTATGTTGAGTTAATGAAAAATTAATTTTAGTCTATTAAAATGCATTAAATTAAAAAAATTAATATATTCTTAAACATAACATTACAGATTGAGCAGAAATCATTATACTGGCTGCTATTTCTGAATGAGAAGCAATGAGTGAAGAGCTGAACATTGGTAGTTGACTTGGTGAGATGTTACATTGGAACCTGGGTCATAATTTTAGGCCCAAAACATTTATGCAGAGGCCATAAAGTAGATATCAGAAGGATTTTTTTGTGTTTGTTAGAGACCAGCTATGCTTTTGCCTGCATCTGAGCTATTGTGTTGGAGCTATGCAATAGGAAAAGGCATGGTTTACCATACTAACTCTTTCCCTATTGAGTTAGTGCTTTACTTGAAAAGTACCAAAGTGATAACATACACTTTAAAAGTAAAATTTAGCTGGGACCGGTTTGGCTCAATGGATAGAGCGTCGGCTTGGGGACTGAAGGGTCCCGGGTTTGATTCTGGTCAAGGACATGTACCTTGGTTGCAGGCATATCCCCAGTAGGGGGTGTGCAAGAGGCATCTCTATCTCTCTCCCTTCCTCTCTGTATAAAAAAAAAAAAAAAAAAAAAGAAAGTAAAATTTAAATTAAAATACTAAAACATATCAAACCCTTATCCCATTTTTAAATGAAAAAAAAAAGTCAAACATGCTCCTATTCAGGTTTCAATTAAGATATGGATTTAAGTAGGATGAAAATTAAATAAAGCTAAATGTAATTTTTTACTCACAATATAGCATATTAACCATATATTAGAGTTATGCATGTGCTTGGCTTGGCCTTTCCAGCCTCAGGCATCATGTTACTATTACTTTGAAAAGTCTGCTTTGAGCCGAGCTGGTTCTAGGGTAGTTACATCTTCAGAATGAATCTGATTGAACCCGTATAATTTAAATCCAGGAATACCTGAAGGATATTAATATTTGGAAAAAAGAGAATATTCTAAGTTGTAGATGAAGGGAATAATAGCAACAGGTGAGAGCCTAATAATTGATTTCCCAAAGAGTAAGAGAATATTAAATTAATTGATGCCCTTCTCTCACAATAATTTAAGTTCACCTGTTCTGTTGCCTCATATAACCCCTTCAAACAGTAGTGTAAGTTTTATTTTAGCAACTTAATGTGCAAAATTAATGAATGTCTAGTTTAAAAGAGTCCTCTAATATTGGTGAAGATTTTCTTTACCCTCAGGGCCCCACTTGTTCCTTTCTTTCTTCATCCTACAAATATTTGGTAGTCTAATATGTGCTAGCATTAGATATACACAAATGACTACAATGTTCTCTCCACTCTTGACCAGTTTGTGTTCTATCTCTGCTTGCTTCTAATAGTCTCCCAGTTCATGTCTCACTTCCTGCCATATTTAAGGCTGAATTGATCTCTTCTGAACTGGGATCCATGAGTGGTGGTGTTACCCTTCCTCTAGTCCCTAAATGTAGGTTGGGTGGTCTATGAATGAATGATACAAAAAGAGCCCAGTTGGACTGGCTCAGTGGTTGAGCATCGACCCATGAACTAGGAGATCATGGTTCAATTCCTGGGCAGGGCACATATCTTGGTTGCTAGGCTCCATCCCCAGTAGGGGGCATGGAGGAGCCAGACAATCAATGATTCTCTCTCATTATTAATGTTTCTATTTCTCTTTCCTTTCCCTTCCTCTCTAAAATTAACAAAAATATTTTTTCAAAAGATACAGAAAGGGTAAAATAGAATATAAGGTTAATAATTAATTGGGTAGTCCTAGCTGGTTTGGCTCAGTGGAGAGAGCGTCAGCCTGCGGACTAAAGGGTTCCAGGTTACATTTCAGTAAAGGGCACATGCCTGGGTTGTGGGCACAATCCCCAGTTGGGAGCATTTAGGAGGCAGCCAATCAATGATTCTCATCATTGATGTTTATATGTTTCTATCTCTCTTCTTCCTCTCCCTTCCTCTCTGAAATCAATAAACATATATTTTTTAAAAGAAGGGGGGGGGGAAGGAATTCATTCAAAAAAAATAATTACTTGGGTAGCCAAACTGGAACAATATGACAGTTATCAGCAAATAATTTTTGTGTGTTTTCCTCTTTGCTATAGAGAATCCAGAAACAAGAGAACCAGCAAGAGAGGCTTGGGTGCTTTTGAGAACAAGCTCTCCTCATCTGCTTCAGCATTAAGATGTTAAGACAGCATTAGCCCTCTGATGGGTTTCCAGTTAGATTAAATGAAGACCATGGCATTAATGAAGACCAAAATTGCCATAAAAGTAAAACATGCTTATTGCCTAAATATAGCAGGCAGTAAGTCAGCAATGCTTTTGCAGTTTCTGCAAGGTGACTGCTCAGCAGTAATTGCTTCTGTTCGAGCATGAGTAGAATGTGTTAGCTGCAGCCCTGCCTCCAGAGATGTATAAGTACTTTCTGAGGGAGGAATGAGATTTGGAAAGGCATTTATGGTCTAATTGTTATTTGGGTCTATGTGTTTACTCAGCTCTGTGCACCTGGAGGAGGCTGGCATTCTACGGGCTGGTCCAGGAGGGGCTGATCAGCAATGGCCAACAGTATCCAGTGCAACACCAGGTAAAGACCCAGTGTCCCTCCCTTCTTGCTTGAGTTCTGGAAAGCGATTACATAACCTGTTTTTGTAAGACCACGATTGTTAATGGCTCTCTATTTATTCTTTCTTTTCCTTACATGTATGACTTCCTTCCATAGATGGTTATTTTGATAACCATAAAATGCGTGTATGGTGTGTGTGTGTGTGTGTGTGTGTGTGTGTGTGTGTGTGTGTATGTATGTGTGTGAGAGTGATTTTCTAAAATAATCAGGTAACTTTCAAATGTTTAGCTTCTCTGAGTTTCACAGAAATTTGGTGGCCTCATGAGCAAAAATGACACTGGGAGCAAAGACCTTTTGGTTGAAGACAATGGAAACCCAGTCAAAATAGTGAGCAAAAGGGAGATGATAGGTAGGTAGGTAGGTAGGTAGGTAGATAGATAGATAGATAGATAGATAGAATGGGGTTTTTCATGGAAGTAGAAAGTTATAAGAACCAAGGCATCACTCTCTGACTTAAAATCAAAGTCAGATCTGCTTCTTTCTGCGCAACTACATCCTTCTGTAGACTGACCTTTACTGCCTTAACATGCATGTTGCCAAACATGACTGCCTCGTAGTTTTTTAGTTCAGAGGGCCAATGGAGACAAATTCCTAATTCAAATTTTCAAGAAAAAGGACCTGCAAGGTTGAATCAAGTCACATTTTCTTAGCTTCCTTATTCTTACCCAATCACTAAAGCAGTGTTATATAACAGAAAGTTGGCTTTGGAGGCTCATCCCTGTGGCAGTTTTCAGAAAGGAAGGGTTATGGAGATCGCAAATGGTGTCTTCTATAATCCTCTATGAATAGAAAATCATGATGATGATTAGTTAATAAATTATTGAGCCATATATACCTAGACTCAGTGCCAAGCACATTACATGTGATTTCAGTTATTTGTCATGACAATCTTGCAGGGGATTTAGTATGTTGATTTCATATATGAGAAACCAGAAACACAGAGAGGTTAAGAAACATACCCAGGTTCATGTGTCAGAAGTAGAGTCAAACCCAAATGTGTTTTGCTTCATAGTTAAGTGTATCTAGCACTTATATTCAGAACACGCTGGCTTGCAAAAATGTACCCAAATTCAAGTACATACTCACATACATAATAGATGACATAAGTTTGTGTGTAAAAAGTACTTTCCAAAAATACTCAGATGCCTTTCAAATGATTAAGCTATCTAAGTGACATGTGCAGCTAAAGGCCCATTTTTGCTGGCAACTCTAAGGACTTTCATTGATTCTAATCAGCCAGCATTTGCTATTTATGAATGTTGCATAATTTAACTAAAAGTCACATTTGTCAAAAAAACAAATGTACAAGTTAAAGCAATTCATTAGGGAGCTAATATTGCCAGATGGCAAGAGAAGAACATTCATTGTCAAATCTGTAGCCCCAATGCCAATGATGGAGTGAAGAAGTGATGGATGAGCAGGTGGGTTCAGACTGCCAAGTGTTGCAGGATGGGGAGGCCTCTGGAAAGGTGAGAACTGCCCAATCAAAGCAGCCACACGAAGTCATGCCCTGCTACCTTCATGTCAGGGCTTTTCTTGTTCTCATAGGTCAGTCTGGTGAGCCAAGAACTAACTTTGAATACATTCCCTCTTTCATTGATGATGCTGGTTGATATATATTCCTAGGCAAATGTGAAATAGGGACTGTGTACTGATGATTTCATTTGCATATGGCTCGATCTCTCCTTCAGATTCAAAAGAATGTTAGGAACCCATCTTGTTGCCAGGAGATAGGGAAGGAGTTTCCATTTCTCCCCTTTCCTACTGTCCCAATCCCTCTTGTGTAATCCCTTTTCTCCAGGACTGTGCTTGGCTGCTGACTCATGAGTCACAGTCCTCATGGACTAATCTGGACAGAGCTTACATCTTCTAGCTACTCCCTGAGTGACATAAACCATATTTTTCAACATCTCTACATCCCAAAGATCTGAAGTTAAAGATATATTCCTCTACCTTCTGCTTTGTCCTTTGGTACTCTTAGGTTTTAGGGCTCAAAATACGTTCTTTACTGTTTGGAGGGAATATGGCATAAAGATTAAGATTATGATGTGGTGTCAGATCTGAACTGCACCACAATTCCAAACTGACTTGCTGGGTGAGCATAAGCAAATTGCTTAAATTCATGTTTTCCTAATAACCTATCCTATAAATTGGGTATAAAAATAACACCTATCTTATCGAGTTGCCATGGTAAGAAAAAAGAGCTGACTATAGTGCTTGACAGATAATATTAATAGATGTCTAATCTTTTTACTTCTTTTTTTCTAAGATACTTTTGAGCAATATATGATGTGGCTGGACTTGGCTGATAGCCTGGTAACCAGAATTCAATAGTTCCCATTTCTAGGCCCAGAAACAGACATTCTGTAGTTTTTGGGTCATCCCGACATCTATACAGTCCATTCATCCCTAGCCACCCTAGTGGGGATGAAAGAGGGATTTATTAATTCTGCCCAAAGAAAAGGAAAATGCTTCAAAAAGCTTGGTTGTTTCTAGTACAGCCTGCCTTTCAGTGCTTCTGTTGTCCTTCAGTGTTTCCTGTTGAAGATGCAGCTGCTTCCAAAAGGCTTTCTCCTGGTTCCTGAATCTCCTTACTCTGGTGTCTGAGACCTCATGAATCAGCACCTTCTCATGGCGCCCACAACAGCTGCAGTCATGGCATTAATTGAGAGAGACCTGCTGTGCTGGGATCCCCATTCACATGTGTTTCTTGCAGTTGTTTTTCTTCCATTGATGAATTGTTTTGCTTTGTCTCTAAACTGTTCATTTATGTACACAGTCCACAAAGGCCCTGCTCTGCAGGGATCAATGGGGACAACACCAGGTGATGTTTCCTGCAAGATAAACAACTCAAGCATTACTTCCATTATTCCTGATTCCTGGCCCCTTTCTCCAGGCTCTCTGTATAAGCAGACCTGGCCCTCCAGCTTCTTACTTTCTACTCAGATTCCTGTGAGACTGAGCAGAGAAAGAAATGGCTAAATAGGGAGTGCAGGGCATTTAGCCACAGTCTCTTCTCCAAGAGGAGGAATGTGTTTTTGAGGAGAGGGGCATTAAAGGGCCAGCCATTCATGTTTACAACTCTAACTTTCTTAATGTGAATGCTCTGAAGAAGTTTTAATGAAGTCTTGTGACTAGTTCCTAGAGGAAGTCCCAAGAAGTTGTAAAAAACACACACACGAACAAAACTGCCCCTGCCTTCGAGAGCTGGTCTGGCTTCAGGGTGCCAACCTACTTTGCCATCTCCCCCTGGTTCATCCAGGCTCCTTTTTCTACATTTCATGGGAGCTCAGGACTTACCTAGGGCAAAATAAATTGTTTTTGGAGTGGGAGCTATTCACTATTTTCAAAAGAGCTTAGGGAATTCCAAACACACAGCACTGCCAAAGATAACTTTATAGGTTGTCAAGCAACACCCCAGGGGATCCAGGACTGGATCTTGATGATTAGTGAGGTAGGGGAGGCGACTAAGGCAGGGAGGCTTAGTTAGAGAACCTTAGTTTAGAGAGGGACTAGGCAGTGGTTCTCAAAGGATGGTTCCCAGAGCAGCATCTCTAACAATACCTACTGAACCAGATGGTGGGGCCCAACCATCTATTTTAACAAGCCCTCCATGAGATACAATGGGCCCTAAAGTTTAAAAACTGCTCTAGAGAGTCAAGAGTAAATATCCTCAAAGTTGTCTACTATCTTTGGAGGCTCAGAAACTATGCAGGGAAGCATCAGCTTCAGATTCTTGCAAGAAGCAGGAAGCCTTTTTCCCTATCAGAGAGAGAATCACTAAGAGCTCAGGCTGTGGGTCAGAGAAACTCTCCTTTGGATTCTAGTTCTGCCACTCAGCAGTTGTATGTCCCTGGGACCATTGCTTTACTTTTTTGATTCCCAGTTTCTTCTGTAAAATGAGATAATAACCTTGTCTGCTGTATAGGGTTGTTGCAAGAATTAAATGTGATAATACACACACATTACAGAGCCTAGTAAATGGTAGCTATATCAATGTCTTGTCAAGGTATAGATGTATCCTTCAGCTTCAGAATGTAGGTCTGAGTTGTACTGAGTCACTTCTATGGAAAGCTCTATCATACAAAATATTTTTTGAAAGTGCCTATCTTTTTTGTGTCCTTGGGGGATGTTGTTGCCCTGGTTTACCACGTCTCTTTGCTCTGTGGAAAATGGACAGAGTTTATGTGTCCTACTTTTAAAGGAGGGTTCAGGCTCTTAATTGTCTTAGAGATTCCTTGCCCTCTGAGAAAATCAACTCCCCACCGAGGGCCTCCACGAAAACTCCATCTCTGACTCTTCCCCAGTAAGAAGTCATGAGCCTTAATATTTTGGAATCCATTTAGAACTGCCAACGTGAATTTTTCCACCTCGTGAGCAAGTGCAGCCTCAGGCCTTGTTTGAGAACTTGGAAATCACGCTCGCTCACTCGCTGTTCCACTAACCCGCTCACCCTCAATTTCTGTTGCCATGGCAATGATAGTCCTGGGAGGTGTGTGCATATCCTTATTAGGAAAAGAAATGAGATCAGCAGTCTCTGTGGGTGGGGCAGCTCCCTCCTGCTAGTATCCTCCCTCTCACCTTGCACCTCACAGCTTCGAGGAAAGTTGAGTCCTTTAACTATGCCCTTTTACTATGTGGGGTGTGGAGCTCACCTTGTCTGTTGGAGTTCTCTCTGTAGCTTACTTTGTGTATTCTGACTTGGCCTGCAGAGAGCAAGAGCAAGATGTTGTGCAAGGAGAATTAGAGTACTCTGCCTAGGAGAAGCCATGAAGCTTAAGTCTGCACTTAAGCTATCTACCCACAACTTTCTGCATCTCCTTCTTAGAAGAACACTACACCTTCAATTTTTTAAAATATACTTTATTCATTTTTTTTTTTTACAGAGAGGAGAGAAAAGGATAGAGAGCTAGAAACATTGATGAGAGAGAAACATTGACCAGCTGCCTCCTGCACACCCT